CAGTAAAATGGTGGTCATTTACTGAGATTTTTCAGTGGACTTTTTGGGGATCCCGAGAAGTAACGTCCAGCGGCTTTGTTTCATTTTGCCACATTTATGAACTTTCACAGATATTAAATAGTTAATAAACCACCGTTATTACACATTTAAGCCTGAAGAAACACTAAATAGTGCGCTCTTAATGATGAATGTCCACCACTATATTGTTTACTAACTAACACTAACATCCCGTTCCCAGTTAATATGAACTATCTCACTAACTAACTATTCCCTAATCCTAAAGTTGTAAATGCGTTAGCTTATTTTATTTCTCGCTAACATTAAACTGTAAAAATATTTACAAATTTTTCTCCAGTTTTCATTAATCTCATCTGCTATCATCTATCTATATCACTGATATTCTATCTACCTGACATTGGCAGAGTCATTCGTCAAAGAAGAGACTCGAGTTCCCGCCAAAAAGTCACAAGAAGCTAATTTGAAATGCGATCACAGATTAGTAAAGTGCCATCAACTTATCTATGAAGTGGCAAAAATAGGAACTACGGTTGACTTTTTGGCGGGAATGCGAGGAGTGGAGTTGTGTGATTTGTTTTATTTTGTCTATTTAGAGTTTCTTCAGGTTTAAATGTGTAATAACGGTGGTTTATTCACTATTTAATATCTGTGAAAGTGCTCAAATGTGGGAAAATGAAACAAAGCCGCTGGACATAACTTCTCGGAGATCCTCCAACAAGTCCACTGAAAAAATCTCAGTAAATGACCGTCATTTTACTATTACTAGAGGTCCCGCAGTAGTCGAAATTCGACTATAATTAGGTAATTGGAATTGTAAATTTGTACACTATTATGATTGTATTTTATACTTCTCTATAATCATAAATTTCAATATCAAAAAATATTAATAAAGACAAACAATATTTAATCTATTCTCAATTTGACCACAGACGTCAAGAACAAAACTTTGACAATAAATAATATGCATGCATGTGTGCGTCAAATACATGGTATGTAGTGTGTGTAATGTTTTCTTTATTGATTTAATGTACCTTTTACGCATTATTTTAAAAACATATTGGCATTGTGCACTTCTTCTCTATATTCTCTATAAGTGTGGAAAATTTTAACTCCTCCGTCCGCGCAATTTTCGTAAAAAGGGATACAAAGTTTTTGCTTCACGTATTAATATATAGATTATATTTCATCCCATATCATCTCATCTGATTTCATTTCATTTCATTTCATGTTATCATTTTGTATAAAATTAAAGATATAAATAAAAATAAGACATGACTTAAAGATCTTAGTTACCAGGTCATAAAATCCCTTAAAAAAAAAGGAACTATGGTCGCCATGTTGAAATTTCATTCGACTGGCAGTGTCTAGGTACCGGTAAAATGGGGCGATTAGGGACAAATTCCAACTTTATGACCAATTTTAAGGTAGTTGTTGATGTATATAATGCTATATCAGGATCAAAATGATTGAGTCTTGGGAGCATCTTTGTTGTCCAATTTAAAACTATGCAACTAGCATTCCAGTATAAGCAAAAAAAAAGCAAAAATAGGTGTAATCCCTATTTACCCGGAAATTGCGGTTAATTGGGACGAAATGAGAAATTTGCTAGGGTGGGTACTACTTGGTTTTATTTATTTATTTAGTTGCACCAACAAAGTGATCATCAATAAAAAACATTGAAAAACTGACACTCTGAACAAATATTAAATATTTTATTATGTATTACTCAGACATTTTTGTCCACCTTGAGATTTCATTGTTCTTATTACATGTCTGTGCAAAATTGACTTACTTATATTAAATTGCTTAGTTATTTCAACTAAAGACTTATTCCCAATTAGAAAATTTACCAATTGCTGTTTTTAATATTAAGGGATAATATCTCTTATAAGGCTTTGCACTCTTTGATACGTACACGCGAGGCATATCTAAAAATAGAAAACAATACGTAACTGATAATATAAATATTTACCAAACAATAAAATAACACATTGATAATTTTGAATAAAAGTTCTAGACAAAAACATCATGAATAAACCAGATTTTTACCAACAAATTTAAAAAATATTGTTATAACTANAAAGAGACAGGGTAAAACTTAAGATCAATAAAAATAACCAAGGGACAGTAAAAACAAAACAATAAAGTAACAAAGAAAAGGGAAAAAAAAAAAAAAAAAAAAAAAAAAAAAAAGTCGAAATTCAACTATAATTAATTGAAATTGTAAGTTTGTACACTATTATGATTGTATTTTATACTTCTATAATCATAAATTTCAATATCAAAAAATATTAATAAAGACAAACAATATTTATCCATTCTCAATTTGACCACAGACGTCAATAACAAAAGTTTGACAATAAATATTATGCATGCATGTGTGCGTCAATGCGAAATGAGCGCACAATTTAAAATTGTGCGCTCATTTCAAACAGTCGCGTCGCTCGCGTCTCTGTGCACTCGTTAAAAATGCCGAATGTTCAATGAGAAATTGTCAAAATATTACGTCAAGAACGTTAAAAATTGATGGGATATCGTATATTCGGTAAATACAAGATAATTAATTTGTCTAAAAACTTCATTCAATGGTCCAGGTATAATACGGGAAATTTCAATGGCCGTATTTTCAATGTAGGAACTACTATTACAAAGCTTTTTATTTCATCGCATAATCCAAACGACCCTGTTCTTATTCAATGGAGTCGATTTTTTTATGGTGTTTAATTTTTTAATTAATAAACACTACAAAAAATGGAAGATTTTGCAACTAACATAAAATTAATATTGAGATTCGAACTATTTTCCTAGTTTTATCCCTATTCACCTCTCAATCTCTATTCACCCCAATTTACTGTAAGATGCATTATCTCGTATAGAGGACAAATTAAAAAAGTGTCCACCTGAAAACAGCAACTTATTGTTGGAAAACTCACCGAAATAGCGCTAGTGTAGGAAGTGGAAATGATATGAACATAGCAGCTTTAAGCAGAGTGAAGTGTGCTGGATTGAAGTGAAGTGTGGTAGTTTATGGCACTGTTTTAAACCCTTCCACTTGCTATTATGGCGCCACCTTAATTGACTCAATTTCAACGGACAATTTTTAATACATTGAGATAGTACATACTCCTTACGGATCCTTACTTCTATCCTCTATGATCCCAATATAGTGCTTGTGGGAGGAAATGCAAGTCTGCACGTTTACTTTGACTTATTTCTGCCGCGAAATAGTTATGGGTTCCGGTTTGAAGGGGACAACCGTTACACAGTATAACACAATTGAGAATTCGACCTCATGTCTCAAGGTAGGCGGTGTTTATGTGATGGCTATGAGTCGTCGTAATTTTACTCTAGATGGATGGATACTTGTTTAAATAACAAAATTAAATTGTTTAGCAAAGATATCGACGCGGACCGAGATTCGAACTCTTTTAAATATTAATCAGGATCACTCACTACTAGAAGAAGGTATCATCAGTAATGGCTAATTGACCGATGTATTTATTTAATGCTCTATCTATTCCGTGTCGTCATTGTTAAGAATTGCATTATTCGGATAATTTTTTTTCTTCATTCGTTTTTATTTGTTTACTATTAATTGTACAAAGAAAAATAAAATAAAATAATAATAACGTTACGCGCTGGGATTCGGGATAAATAAATGTTCCACCAAAGTACAACTTAAAACTGTATTCAGCACTTAAAACACTCAAAACACTCAACAAACACTTTAAAATTCTCTATTCACTTCTTCCGCTTCGCTTCAGGTGATCAGTTCGCTGTAGTTTCGCTTCGAGTAGTACCGATTACTGACTAACTGCGTGCCATCACTGCAACGCTTTTAAAGTCGATACGACATCTCTAGAATCGTACAGAACATTCCTCACAAGTCGCACACACATCGAAAGTACTTTTCGTTGTGTGTGTTCCGCTATCTGACAATAGAAGGCGTTGTACTTCTCGTGCGTTCTAGGTGCTACTGGATCCTTCGATATTCGTTCGACTATTCGGCGATAGATGGCGTTACTCCTACCGGTGTAACATTAACATAATAAAAAAAGGGCGTAGAAAGGTGAGTTTAAATCGTATCGAGTTTTCTTTTAGCAAACAGAACGACGGAAAATAAAATAAATACGTGTATTTTTTTTATTATTATTTATTATTTATTTTGAAACGGATTTTCATTTAGATAAACGACTCAGATTTCATTTCACGTGTATTCGATTCATAATTTAGTAAGTGCGAGTTTTTGCTAGTGGTAGGGCGTCTAATAAGCCCGCACGGGTAGGTACCACCGCCCTGCCTATTTCTGCCGTGAAGTAGTAATGCGTTTCGGTTCGAAGGGTGGGGTAGCCGTTGTAACTATACTGAGATTTTAGAACTTATATCTCAAGGTGGGTGGCGCATTTACGTTGTAGATGTCTATGGGCTCCGGTAACCACTTAACACCAGGTGCGCTGTGAGCTCGTCCACCCATTTAAGCAATAAAAAAAACCGATTAATAATTTAGAAAGTGCGAGTTTTTGCCATCACGTACTAAAATGTAATTAATGGATGTTTGTACTAAATTAACATTGCTCTGGTAGGTATTAAAACACTTTAGTTTTAATCAGTCAAATTTATTTAATTCTGTATTATCCTTGATATAATTGCCAAATACAATACATTACAGATAATGTTTTCGAATCAAATTTTACCCTATGTGAATTATGGTGTGAGTATATGTAGGAATTGTGGTGCTAATTGGGTGGACGAGCTCACAGCCCACCTGGTGTTAAGTGGTTATTGGAGCCCATAGACATCTATAACTTAAATGCCTAAGTTCTAAGGTCTCAAGAATAATTACAACGGCTGCCCCCCACCCTTCGAACCGAAACGCATTACTGCTTCACGGCAGAAATAGGCAGGGTGGTGGTACAAACCCGCGCGGACTAACAAGAGGTCCTACCACCAGTTATTAGGCAAATTATAATTTTTGCGGGTTTGATTTTTATTACACGATGTTATTCCTTCACCGTGGATGTCAATCGTGAACGCCTGGGATTCGAACACCGTTGCATCGCTCAACACGAATGCACCGAACGTCTCATCCCTTATACCACGACGACATATAGGAGTGTATTTTAAGTAATGCATTTATTTTGTGTCTCCCTTTAAAAGCTTAAAAGATAACGGGTGTGACGCGTTCGCAATAGCGTAGTTGAACAAGAATCTCATTTAGGTCAATTTAAAATCTTCACACAACTTCCGCATTCAAACGAAAACCGGTTCACTTTTCGTCCAGAACTTCTGTATCTCCTGTAGACTTTTCCCTTTCGTCTCGGGCACCCACAGCGCCGTATACAAAACTCCGTACAGAGTGACGGCGGCGAACGTATAGAACACCGCGTGGGCACCGAATTCGTTCGCTACCGGAGTGTAAAAGAGAACGGTCATCGAACTGCAGAAGAACGAAAACATCATCGACGCTCCGGCCATCCGGGAACGGAACTGCGGACAAAGATTGCGTTTTCAAAACTATAATAATATATATGTATATACTAGATGATGACCGGTTTTTTTTATAACGCCATCTTGTTGTGTCTTTAAAGCAGTAAAAATAGTATTATTATTCGCCAATAGATGTCGGCAAAGAGTCATAAAGTTGATTATCGATAAAGTTGATTATTGAAAACACGAATAAAACAACATTTTCTGAAAATAAATCGTAGCTAGATCGATTAATCGCCCCCGAAATCCCCTGCATATTAAATTTTATGAAAATCGTTGGAGCCGTTTCCGAGATTCAGATTATATACATATATATTAATATACTAGAATTGCTCGTTTATAGGTATAAGATATTGTTATATATATATAGAGCTGTATGTAGAGTTGTATATATAGAGCTGAAGTCGTCTAAGGCAAAGGTTATTGGATTTGAGGGATCCGTAAGAACGTGTCTAGGGCGTCGACGGTGACTAGCTCCTGCGTGATCAGGATTCGGGGAGTAGTCAGCGGCGGCAACGATAAGGCCATTATCATGACGCATAGCCTTATCGAAGTACCGTTCCGACGCTGACTTCATGTATTTGCGGATCGATTCAAGGCCCAGGTCATCGTGTAGGTCAAAGTTTCCTACGAACTACGGAGCTCCGACGGCTAACCTGCAAAACTGGAATTGTAGGGTTTGGAGGGTGTTTATGTGTGGGCGGGCCGCGTGAGCGAAGACTACACTCGCGTAAGTCATGACTGGCCTTATACAAGTTTTGTAAAAGTATGTGTACAGAGTACCTATAGTAACATATTTACGTATCTATCATCGAAAAACTAAAACAAAATATTATCTTTCTTATCAGAAACACAAAAAATCATGCACGTAATGTAATGAGCCTGTAATATTTTATATTATTTTGTACCTGGAATGTAAAGACTTCAGCCATGATCACCAGCGGCACGGGCGCGAGGCCGGCTCCGTACGCGAATAAGCAGACGCACACGGCCGAAGCACCCACCCAACCTGGACCTTCCAGCAAGAAACACGTCGCCAGGGTCGTCATGCAGAGAGACACTACGAGCGAACTGCAAGCCAGAGGAATCTGCGAATTGTGTGGAAATTCAAAGCATGTGCAGTTATTGGACGATTAATTGCTTTAAATCCCGTGAACACGATGAGCTTAATAGATGTTTGATTAATTACGAGCCGGATCCGATGTTTACTGTCGACTGCACCAACAAACAAAGGGCCTTCAAAAAAGTAGTCATCTTAATAGACCCGCATGAAGTCTGCGATGTGACGAAGCTAGGTGTTATTTAGTATGTTCGTTTACATCTGTGAGTGTATATGACAGATACTTCGACAAAGCGGCGCGACACGAAAACCCTCTTAATATGGCCGTCTGAAACATGTATTTTCGGATCCCCCGGATTCACTCTCGATACTTTTAGGATCCTTAAGTACCGGTCAAGAGTTCAACGAGCGAACTAACCCATAGACATAGCCCACTGAGTTTCTCGCCGGATCTTCTCAGTGGGTCGCGATTACGATCCGGTGGTAGAATCTGCGAAGCACTGCTCTCGCTGGGGCTAGTGTTAGCAAATTCTCTCAGGCTCAGCCCGTGAGCTCACCTACCCGTCTGGGCGTAGCTGGAACAGCTTTTTAGACTAACAGTGAATAGGTAGAAATTAAAAAAATTGACAGAAATGACAAACCTTTCTCCCGAACCTCTCAATGGACATTGTGGTGAGGAATGAACCAGCCAGCTGTAGCGAGCCTACGAGAAGGGCCAAAGTGTTGGGGCTCCACTCGGTACCCGCGCGCGTGAACACGTCCGCCGCGTAGTTCATAAGGGCAAAGCACCCGGACAACGTTTGCATTGCCATCAGCATTAGGGTCATTCGAAGGGCAGAGAACGTCGGACGATCACGGACTGTAATGATATTACTTCTTTTTTTCAAAGTGCTTTTTGCTGTTTTCTAACGTGACACTCAAGATAATCAATTACGCTTCTGTTCAAGAAACTTTATTAAACCTCAGACGCTTTTCGCGCCAATTATATTTTTTTCATGTTTAATAAGGAAAAAATGTTATTAATAAAATAAGGTTCAAAAGTGTCAGTTCTTTTCGGAAATTTCGCAAATGCGTATTCTGACGATAATTATCAGATAAACCAATATACATCGCATGCAGAAGTCATTTAAGTGCATATGTATTTGCACATCTGTGCCATACTCAATTGTACAATTAAATGTAACTATTGAGTTTTGTTTTCTATTCACTTCTTATCGTGAAGTGTACAGGTAATTGCAGACACGAACATTGACGTAACATCATAATATTTAATCATGGGATTATAAATCATATCTGATGTTTACATAGGCGGCACTGAAAATTTCGGGAATTAACGAAGTGACACAACATTACTATTTAAAAATGTATTTATTGCTTTTCGAAGAATTCTCCGCGAAATTTGACACATTTTTCCTTATGATGGAACCAATCATTGAAGCAACCATTCCATTCGGAAGTTGAGGTCTCCAAAATGGCCGTTTTGTAGGCGTCCACAGCTTCTTCAGGTGATGAAAATCTCTGTCCACGCAATTTATTCTTTATTTTAGGGAAAGTATAGAAATCATTAGGGCTTAGGTCGGGGCTGTACGGCGGATGGCCTAATAATTCTATGTTTTCTTGCTCTAAAAACTCTTTTGTTCTGTGCGCGGTATCAGAACTCGCATTGTCGTGATGGAGGATGATGCGGCGGTTGCAGAGTTCTCTTTATGGAGTTCAGAAAAGACCTGTGGCAAACAAATGCTAGCATACCATTCTGCATTAACCGTTCTTTGTCCCTCAAGAGGAATAGTCGTAACATGGCCGGTTTTGGAGACAAACGTGGCCACCATTTTTTTTTGCAACACTCCGTGAACGAACAATTTTTGTTGGCTTTAACTCATTTTAAAACACCCAAACTCGTGACTGGTTTTTTGTTTCGGGTTTGTACGCGTATATCCAGGATTCGTCACCTGATACAATGTTGTATACGGCATTTGAGGATCCTGCGTGGAATCTTTCGAGAGTTCTGACGCACTAAGTAACGCGAGCCGCTTTTTGCTCTTCACAGAGCGAATGCGGTATCCATCGGGAAAACAACTTTTTTACACCTAATTGTTCATGCAAGATTATTTTGTATTTGACTCATGCCAATGTCTAAAGTTGCCTGAATTTCGCGGTATGTCACATGTCGGTCTTCCTCAATCAGCTTACGCACAGCATCAACGTTTTCTTGGGTGACTGCAGTTTTTGGACGACCTTGACGGGGATCATCACTGAGCTTGACACGTCCACGTTGAAACTCAGCAAACCAGCGATAGATTGTGGTTTTGGATGGGGCTTCATCACCAAATGCAGAAATCATCCGGTCAACACACTGTTTTTGTGTTAAACCTCTTCGAAAGTCATAATAAATCATCGCTCTTGAATTTTCTCGAGTCAATTCCATTTTCTCAACGACTAAACAAGTTTGACAAAACCTCGTGACAAGACCGAGAATCTTTTTTTAAATAAATAAATGGTATTCGATTTTGAAAACCAAGGAGTTTTCAATTAAAAAGATTTTAATATGACAGGAACAGTGGAAATATTCCATTCCTGATACTTTTAGTGCAGCCCTCGTAGTTGGTATATTAAATTTTAGTTATTTCACGCACACATATAGAGGTCATGCTAGGCAAAAACGCAACGCGAGTTTTCGTTCTTTGAAAAAAAAAAAAAACCAAATTTAATACTTATTTTGAAGTTATTGAATATATTTATGTAAATAATTGTCACGAGCGTTGAGCGTTCTTATAAGAAAATCAACTCGAGACACACATAATTTGGATTTATTAAAATGCTTCAAGGTGATGAAACATATATCCGTAAAGTACTCATGGGACTCGCTTTGAAAGCTCTTCGACTGGTGGCAGAACCTCTTGTGAGTCCGCGCGGGTAGGTACCACCACCCCGCCTATTTCTACCGAGAAGCAGTAATGCGTTTCGGTTTGAAGGGCGGGCCAGTCGTTGTAACTATACTGAGACCTTAGAACTTATATCTCAAGGTGGGTGGCGCATTTACGTCGTAGATGTCTATGGGCTCCAGTAACCACTTAACTACCCGGTGGGCTGTGAGCTTCGTCCATCCATCTAAGCAATAAATAAATAAAAAACCTTATGTCCTAAACGAATTGTTGCTGTAAGGTCTACGGTTGTAAGCTTACCGTAAGATCAAGGTGCTGATCATATTTTTTTTTTATTGCTTATGTAGGTGGACGAGCTCACAGCCCACCTGGTGTTAAGTGGTTACTGGAGCCAATGGACATCCACAACGTAAATGCGCCACCCATCTTGAAAATCATCTATTTTAGATCTATTGTAAATCCACAACGTAGAAGTAGTTATGTATTGTAATTGTAAAATTAAATATAATTATACACTGTTAACATTAATGTGAGCTATGTATTGTAATTATACACCGTCTATGTGTGTGTGCTATGTTGTTTGCAGTTTTTATGTGTATTAACATTGTAAATAACACGGAAAAATTATACATTTAAGACACAGTAATAAGCATGTACAGTAAAGAACTTAAGTATAATTATGTAGGGAATAAAATGAGATGTATATATGATGTCAGTTGAGACAATAAAAAAAAATACGAATACAAGAAAAAAATTATATCATATAACTAGATAAGGTAACCTACAGATACACTTTTTTATTTTTTTATTGCATTGATGGTTGGAGCTCACCCACCTGGTGTTAAGTGGTTACCAGAGCTCATAGACAACCACAACGTAAATGCCGCCACCCACCTTGAGATATAAGTTCTAAGGTCTCAGTATAGTCACAACGGTTGCCCCACCCTTCAAGCCAAAACGCATTACTGCATCACGGGAGAAATAAGCGGGGTGGTGGCACCTACCCGCGCGGACCCACAAGAGGTCATACCACCAGTAATTACGCAAATTATAATTTTGCGTGTTTGATTTTTATTACACGATGTTATTCCTTCACCACAGACGAACCGCCCGTTTTGGAATCATGTAAGGCATTATTCAAAGCGGCACCATTTTATTTACCCACACTCTGCAGTGAAACACGTGGCGCCTCGTCATATCTCCGCTGCTCCTCCTTTAGCTTCGATATCTCTTCGGCGACGATTTTGTGTTTCCCATTCACGCTTCGCAGCCAAGATATTGTGCTGGCTGCTTTCTATAAAACCAATGCTTTTTTACTTGACGATATTGAGTAGACTGATGCCATCGGAGACTGTGGACGTTGTCACGCGAATTCCGCCACTTATCTTTGGTGCATTTTTTTTCTTCTTTTTCCTACCTATGCTGATAGCCTTGAGAGGCTATATCAGCTTCGCCCTAACATGTAGGTGAGCTCACGGGAGTCAAACCAAAGTGATGCTAACACTGGCCCTAGCAAGAGCAGTGCTTCGCAGAATCTACCACCGGATCGGAAACTCAGTGGGCTGTGTGTGTGGGCTGACTCGGAGGACGGTGACCGGTGCTTGTGGTACCTAAAAGCACCGTTAATGGATCGGGAGGAACCGTAATGACGTGTTTTGGGCGACGTCGACATGGTGCATGAGACCGAAGTCCCAATTGTATTGCTTAGTCGGGTGTGCACCCACGACCCACCCAGACCACCCCCACCCAGACTCACGATCAACCACCTGGTGTTCAGTGGTTTCAATGTTGTGGCTGGTCAAACCTACCCTCATATTTGATTTGTCACTAATCACTATCGTCTTTAAGCTAAATCAATAATGTATCTTTCGTAAGGATTTCCAGGACCACATGTACTTTTTAACACTTGCACAAAAAAGTTAACGTTTAATGTTCATAGTCTAATTGAATATTTCCTGACATTGACGTAGAAAATAATTACGAAATTTAACCATCCTAAACAGTTTTTCGACTTTGGTATTGGCTGTTTTTTTTTTATTTTTACCTTAAATCATCATACGTGTTATTTGTAATAAACAAATTATTATGTTTTTTGTGTGCAACTTCACGTTCCAGTGCAAGGGTTATTGATTAGCGTCATCATCAAGCCACAGTGCATATCAAAAGCACCCCACGCTTTATTTACAATCAACAATTTTTTTTCTTACTCTATTTTTAATTCAAATTTATTAAAATTTAGTATCTATTTTTTAGTTGGATTTTCTAAAAGCGTATCTTTTTAGTTTTTTTAACTTTTTTTTTCTTCCTTTTTTAGTTGAACTTCCATTTTTTCAATTTTTCATAAATTTTATCTGAATTAGTCGGTAACTTATCCGAGAAATAGGTGATCGACGCGCCTGATAGTTTCCCTTCTTGGTCTTGACGCAGACACTCCGGGTCTCAGGAAAACAAAAAATCGCTAATCCTGATTATCCTAGTAAGGATAACGGATCAAACTGTTTATAATATTGAATCGTCATCGGTACGCCAAATTTCGAGTTAATCCGACGTTTTGAAGGGGCTCAAAATCATGTTCAAAGATTCCGTTACATACTAAAATACGTATGAAGCTAATAAAAGCGTATTAAAAACGCCCTTCTCACTGAAGACATAAGTTGGTAGGACCTCCTGTGAGTCCGTACGGGTAGATACCACCGCCCCGCCTATTTCTGCCGTGAAGCAGTAATGCGTTTCGGTTTGAAGGGTGGGGCAGCCGTTGTGACTACACTGAGACCTTAAAACTATATCTCAAGGTGTGTGGCGCACGTTGTAGATGTCTATGGGCTCCAGTAACCACTTAACTTGTTATTTTCAAATATACTTTTTTTGTCATACTGTTAACATATAAATTTAGCCTATTTTTCGGCTGTTTGTAAAATTGCTGTAACATGTCATAGTTTGTTATAAGAGATTGCTGTACATGCCTGTAACTGGCTTACATACCAGTACTTAATTATGTACATGTTAATTTTAAGCTTGAATGTTTTGTGTGTATTGCTGTTGGTGTGTCTAAATAAATAAATAAATAAACACCAGGTGGGCTGTGAGCTCGTCCACACATCTAAGCAATAAACAAAAAAAAGGCGGTTAAAGTGCCAATTCGATTTGTAATTCCCATATCGTCTCCGCAATGTGTCCCTAAACAAACTACAATAAACTACCTCACCTTTTCGTCGCCGATCTTCAGTAAATAATTCGGTGATTCTGGCATAAATGAAAACATTATGACGTGGATCCCGCTGATGCTTAGATACACTATTTGATTGGTGGCATAGGAACAGCTCATTCCGACGGCGTAAACGAATATGACTCCCAGTTTCGACACGGTTATGGTCAGGGAGCCAAGTGCCCCTCGCCAAGAATCTTCCGATATTTCTTTGACGTACACAGGCACCGCAACGAAGCAGCCGCCTGATGCTATACCGGCTATGACCCTGGCTGCTATCAGAGACGGGGTGTTGATCGAAGTCAGCTTGATCGTCCAAGACACCTGAAAGTTAGGGCGGTAATGAGGAGAGTAACATGATTAATGAATCTAGGTTTGGCGTCGATTGGTAAATTTTGCTTTATTGGTTCAGGCACCATAGTTCGAATCTTCTTTTTAGACGAGGTTCACATTTCTTTATTATTATAAGATGGTATTGTTGAGGCTGAATTTGTTTAAAATTACATATCTGATCATAATCTTGAAAGACCTTGTGGTATCCAATAATTTCTATTGCATTTGACATTTTTTTAAATTGATTGGATAGATGAACCAGCTCATGGTCAACATAGCTTTAAGTGTTTACCGGAGCCCATAGACATCAACAAAGTAAATGCCAACACCCACCCTGAGACATGAGTTCAAAATCTCAGTGTTTATAGTACAACAGCTGCCCCGCCCTTCGAACCGAAACGCAAGACTGCTTCACAGCAGAAGTAAGCAGGTAGTAACTACCCGTGCGGGTTCACAAGACGCCCTACTACCATTGAAAAATGTTTACCATAGTGTCTATTGCGTATGCCTTAGTTAAAATTTGGTAGGTTGAATTTTTGAACCGACAATGCTCTGTTGTCAGCCAGTTGCTATCCCGGTTCGTGAGTACCTGGAATTCGTTCCTTAAGCTACTAGGGACTAGGTAGGGAAGAAAATTTTGTGGTCCGACGGAGTTATTGCATTCGAATCAACTTGCATATGTTTGTAATAAGACTAGCCGTACTCACCCGCTTCGCTAGGTATTTAAAATTAACATTATCATTTGTCATTATTATTAGGGAGTCCAACACTCATATAAATATTATCCTATACATTAAGTACATGTATTTTCTACATGGATACCAAGTTTCAAGTCAATCGGATGCATGGTTCAGTAGTTATAACGGAACATCTGTAAAAACCACTGTAGATTTACCGTTCACCGAACCCGTCGCTTGCGACGAAGGGCTCGACGAGCGAATTAACCCACAGACACAGCCCACTGAGTTTCTCGCCGGATCTTCTAAGTGGATCGCGTTTCCGATCCGGTGGTAGATTCTGCGAAGCACTGCCCTTGCTACGGCTAGTGTTAGTAACACTCCGGTTTGAGCCCCGTGAGCTCACCTACTTGTTAGGGCGAAGCTGATATAGCCTCTCAAGGCTCTCAATGCAATCAGCATAGGTAGGAGAAAAGAAAAAATGTAGATTTATATATTAGTACAGATACGTACACATGACAATAAGGATACTGCGATGACGCACAACTTCCTGCCGAAGCGATCTGATGCGTAGCTGAAGAAGGGTATCCCACATATAGCGGCGAGTGGTAGAGCTGTGGCCACCCAGGAGACCTCGTCATCGCTTAGGGGCGTGTCCGCTGGAGACTGTTTTGACTTCAGCACGGGCCCCAGGGGAGACAACCAACCGATCTGGATGCCATACGTGAACGTTGGTATCGTGGCTGTAATAAATCTGCGTGCTGAGTTTGAGTTTTTTAACTACTAGATTTTTTTATGGGTGGGCGAGCCTACAGCCCACCTGGTGTTAAGTGGTTACTAGAGCCCATAGACATCTACAACGTAAACGCGCCACCCACCGTGAGATATAAGTTCTAAGGTCTCAGTATGGTTACAACGGCTGCCCCACCCTTCAAACCGAAACGCATTACTGCTTCACGGCAGAAATAGACAGGGTGGTGGTACCTACCCGTGCGGACTCACAAGAGGTCCTACCACCACCCGTCGATTGCGTAAAAGTTAACTCAAATTTGTATGGAGTTAGAACAGCGCCCCTAGCGGCAAACGTAGGGGCACACTGAAATGAGTAGGTATACCAAATTTCTTGACGTTAAATAGAAAAGAAGAAAGTCATTCAAATTATTCGTTTTGTTATTTAATTGGGCAGACGAGTGAGAGTGAGACGTGGTCGATGAGTGTGCTTAATGCGAGTTTTTTAACTTCTTGATCGAAAAAAACGTAATATGCAGTTTAAAAACTAATAATTTCATAATTGCAAATGGCAAAATTAATAACAAATTAACAATTAATTTTATCTTTTTTATTTTATCGTGTTGATACTAGTCAGCATATTAGAGTGAAGTTATCTATATAATATATAAAAATGAATTACTGTTCGTTAGTCTCGCTAAAACTCGAGAACGGCTGGACCGATTTTGGTAATTTTGGTCTTGAATTATTCGTGGAAGTCCAGAGAAGGTTTAAAAGGTATAACAATTTTGTTTTCCCCGTCGGACGGATTCCTTTTGTTTGTTTTAAGTTTATTTTATACAAAAGTTTAGGTATTTTATTTATCGATTGAGGCACTACGAAGTCTGCCGGGTCAGCTAGTCTATATATAAGTATATAAAAATGAATTGCTGTTCGTTAGTCTCGCTAAAATTCGAGAACGGCTGGACCGATTTGGCGAATTTTGGTCTTGAATTACTTGTGGTAGTCCAGAGAAGGTTTAAAAGGTAAATAAATATTAAAATGCTCGGAATTAAATAAAAATAACAATTTTGTTTTCCCTTTGATGTGTCCTCCGTCCGACCGATCCCTTTTATTTGTTTTAAGTTTATTTTATACAAAAGCTTAAAACTGTAATACTTAAAACTCAGCATACCCGCTCTTTGATTATAAACGAGTACTTAAGACCTTCTTAAAGCTATTTTAAAGTGTTTTTATTAGGTTTGGTCTCCTCTACCTCTACCCTGGATGTTCAAAATAAAGGCTGTCACTATTTGCTATTCCGTTACATACGAACAAACATTCAAAGCGTATTAAAACGATAGTTGAAGTCTTAAAGGCCCAGTTTTCCCCTGTGTTACGTATGCCCAAATAACAGAGACCGAGACATGATCAAATACACCCCAAATATTAAATATCTTTGACAGAGATCCGAGAGCTAATCCCTGTTCTCTTGTACATGCTGGGTTTATGGAGGAATAATTTATTTAGTATTCAAAAACCGTAGCATACATTCATTTCACCTTCAACGTTAATGAGATGGGTATGTAAATTAAATATTTACTGTCGATCGTTTTTATATGATGACAGAGGAGGGTCCAAGCTATGTGACGTCATTTGTTTAATTACATTCAATGAACATCTCGACGATCCAACGACTGTTAGTTGGTTGGTACTGAAGGCAAAATTAAATTATTTCAAGGTAGGTATGTAAATTAAGTATTTTCTATCCATCGTTTTTGTATGATGACAGAGGAGGGTCCAAGCTATGTGACGTCATTTTTTAAATTGCATTAAATTAACAGTTGGAAGATCCAACGACTGTTAGTTGGTACTGAAGTCAAAATTTACTTTTTTCAAAACTATACTTGTTGTATGTCATAGCAACTCCTGGTTCGTTGGAATAACCAGAGAGTATTGTATTCAATATAATCATAGTCCATCTTAATATATATAATTTACGTGTTACGTTGTTTGTCCGCGATGGACACCTAAACTACTGAACCGATTTTAGCTTCTTTTATTTTTAAATATGCATTTTGTTCCAACTTAGGCCACAGGATGGTTTTTATTTCGATTAATGGTGGCAATATTTATTTATTAACAATAAAATGATTTCTTATATTGATTATTGTTAGTAATTGTAAGTTTCATAAGTCTAAACAGATGGCGCCTTAAATCAGTTTTACAGACAATTGTAATAAAGTAAAAGTAAAAGTAAAAGTAAAAAGTAAATCTGACGAAGCATGTTGGGGATAATAACATGTACTTTTAGGTTAGGAATATTGTGTTCTTTTTTTTATAATAAATTTAGAAATTAACACATTATTCAGTTTAAGTATAATTAATTATTTAATAAAATTATTTGTAAAAAAAAAAAAAGAAAACAAAAATTGTAATACTGTCTGACATTAATATCTCATAGATGGCGCTGTGTTAAAAATACCAACGTTTCACATAAGCTACAATTTAATGGCATAAGCACACTTGAGTGAAATTTATTTCGTAGTAAACGCAATACAATGAAATCCAATTGTTCTTACTTTGTTATTATAATTTTTGGTATTAGCCGGCTACGTGTTATTTAGAAACAAAAACCTTAGCCACAGCAACGCGTGGTCGGGTCTACTAGTATAAAAAAATAAGGTGAAACAAAGCGTAAAGTGCAGTTTATGTGATCGTACCAAAAACAGGACTAAAATACCGATCCGTTAAGGTAATCACATAAAAATCAATCTTAAGAAAACAATTGAACTAAAATTAGAAAGTTTCAATTGTCGAGAGCGAACATTTGTTCTACATTCGGTTATTTATAACCGAAGTTTCTCATTCTAATCACATTAACGTGTTTAACTAAAATATATAGGTTTAAATAATCATAACGATCGAGAAAGTATTTGCTGAAAATCGTGTCTGTTTCATAATCGAGCCGCGGCGTTAATTTTTTAATTTATTTATTTAACCTAGAAGTAGAAACATCTAGAAATACAATCATAATAATTAGCATCTGTGTAATAGGGGCCATCTCACATACGAGGGATACTCAATAGGGGCTCAGAGGAAGTTGTGAAAGTAGCCCCGGTAATTAACAAATTAAATAGCGGACGGTTAGCGTGGTATGGACATGTGATGCGTAGAGAGGAGATGCATGTGACTAGGAGACGTATGGTAGTGCAAGGTAGAGGGGGAAGAGGTCGACCGAAGAAGACAAGGATGGAGTGTGTGAATGACGATATGAGAGAGAGAGAGGAGTGAGTGTTGAGATGACGGCTGATAGGAGAGAATGGAATAGAAAAATTCGCTGTGCCGACCCTACCTAGTGGGATATGGTGGAGTAAAAAAAAAAAAAGAAGCTCAATAGGAGTAATGTGATACGTTCTCCTTGGAAAGAAAAAAAAAAAATTGCGTTATATGTGCGCGTCATAATTCGTATTAAACACCTCTAGTACAAACACTACAAAACTACTGTTCAATTGATTGGGCAACGGGAATGCGATGGTTTTGTAAATAATTAGTTACGTAAAATCTTTATACAGCTTACGTATCCAGCCTCAGTAATCGTGAAGGTTAACTTCTGCCTTAAGTAAACATTGTATTATAATTATTAGGTATTTGGGATTTAGTAGCGCATTTACGGTCATGATATATTATGTTTTGAAGTCGTCGTGGCCTAAAGGATAAGACGTCCGGTGCATTCGTATCTAGCGATGCAACGGTGTTCGAATCCCGCAGGCAGGCATTTTTCTAATGAAATACGTACTTAACAAATGTTCACGATTGACTTCCGCGGAGAAGGAATAACATCGTGTAATAAAAATCAAACCCGCAAAATTATAATTTGCGTAATTGCTGGTGTTAGGACCTCTTGTGAGTCTGCACGGGTAGGCACCACCACCCACAAAAATAGTGTGAGCACAATTTTTTTCACAAAAAAGATTATAACCTATGTCACTCGGGAATAGGGTAGCTTCCAAACAGTGAAATAATTTTTCAAATCGGTTCAGTAGTTTCAGAGCCTATTCAATACAAACAAACAAACAAATCTTTCCTCTTTATAATATTGGTATAGAAGTATAGATATAGATTGTTGAGCAATAGAAACTGATATTACAAAATTATAAAAATGACGTACAATATAATAATATTCGACAGAAGCCTGAATCGCATCAAAGACATTCCCAAGACAATTTCGCGTATAATAAGGAAGCCACGAACAACTTTCGCCCCGTAGTCCCGCTCAGTGGAAGATCTTTCCTCTATCCTACCCAAAACTAATGACTAACTTATCTTTTTAATATTACGAAACGCATTGCAGCACCATTCAAATTTTTTTTCAATTAACGGAATCTGACGTTAATTAAGTGGCTGGATGTTTTGGTATTGTATAAAGCCCTTAAAATGATTCCTTCGTTAGGCATTCAAACATATTGGTGAGCAGGCCTATAAGTTTGACTATATATCACATTATGGGATTCACAGACGGGGGAATTTATAATTTTTTTTCCAAATTATATGCAGTGTGGAACAGGTCACATTATACATTATACAGTACGTATTCTAAAAATAATAAAATGTTGGAATTTCCTAATTTTCTTTGACAGCATATATCTTGGAAACTTACCCAATAAAGCAGTGAAAATTTGTTTATTAGCATTGCTTTCATCTTTTTGCCGCTTTCCATCCATACTGATTATTAGCTGGCTGTATAACTCTGGGATGCGTAGACCGAATAGACAAAAAAAAAAAAAACAGAACCGTAAAGATTAAATTACGTTGACACTTCTTAGAAATCACGAATTAACATCAAAATGTCGAAATCACGATGAGTGTTTATGTCATGGTTGAATTGATTTAGCAAATTTAGATTTTCGTATTTAACTCGGCCGCACGCACTCCGCTGTACGTAGCGCGCGACTGACCATCATAACCTATATTCGCGACGCGGACAAGTGAATGAATCGTGGTCGCGTGATGCACCTACACATTCGACTAATCTACATTCGCGAGCGTCGAGGAACGTCTGTTGAGACTTTTTGGCGGGAACGCGAGGTGTGAAGTTGTGTGATTTGTTTTATTTTGTCTATTTAGTGTTTCTTCAGGTTTAAATGTGTAATAACGGTGGTTTATTAACTGTTTAATATCTGTGAAAGTGCACAAATGTGGGAAAATGAAACAAAGCTGCTGGACGTAACTTCTCGGGTTCCTCCAAAAAGTCCACTGAAAAAACCTCAGTAAATGACCACCATTTTACTGCGATTATATTTCATCCCATATCATCTCATTTCATTAAATTTCATCCCAGTTGATTAATGTCTCAAATTAATCATCTTCATTTCATTTCACTCCATATTATCATTTTTCATAAATATTAGGAATACAAAGTAAAATAAGACATGACTTAAAGGTCTTAGTTACCAGGTCATAAAATCTCTTAAAAAAAAAAAGAAGGAACGTCTGTTCTTTGTTTTGTCTATATTTTGTAATTATAGATTGAATTGTAAATTGTTTATTGAAATTAAACTTCTTTAGACGCGTTAAGAGTAAAACTTAAATCGCGACAGATTCGTTACGACTAGAGAGAAAATATATAATTTAGGAAGAGCAAGAGTGAGAAAATAGACAGAGAAGTTTCACTTCTTTCATCTGCACCAAGTTGCACGCGCACCATATTTTTTCTTTTATTCTAGTTTGTACATCTTTTTACCGACTGAAGATCAACAGACGAGCATATGTCACACTTGGTATGATTCTAAATAATTGTATGATTTATGATGGCACGTCTTACATTTTAGTGTTGCAAAGGTGTCACGAATGCGTGCGTATTAGACACACGCACAAATTGGCCTGGCGATAAACGGACATGTGACATTATAGAAGATTTAATAATCATTTTAGATCATTAAGTAGGTAACGGCTTAGTGTTCACCACCAATCCAAAAAGATTATGGAGGACAACTTCTCTTCTAAATGTAGTTTTAATAAAGTTAAAAACGACTATAAACGATTTCAAAGTGCAAGGTTGACTTAAATAAATTATTTTTCGAATATGAACATAGAACCAGGCACATTATACCTGTACGATTTTGTTATGAAAGATAACTTTGTACGATTCTCACCTTCTTTATTGCCAGAGAAGACCACCCTAGTTTATTATTCACCATATATGTAGTTGTTGGCATTGCTTAAGGACATCACTAATACCAGAGACATTGCCACTCACTTTCAACACATTAGGTGGTAAGAGTCATTTTTCAAGAGACTAAAATAGTACTTATATACTAGCAAAATAAAAGAATACACAGCACAGCATTCTCATTATTCTCCCACCTAGTCTTAATTATTTCTTTTCAAAATACGGAGCGCACTTATTTACCTGAATTAACAGTTTATACGCAGTGACGCCAGGAATCAGAAGTAGTACGACGGCTATTGTTTTCGTGCTAATGTAAAATTGTAATTAATATATTTTTATGAAGTTTAGAAAGGTAAATTGAAGAATGAAAAACGTTAATACATTTTAAAATATACCTACATATTTGGATTCCATTGAACGAGGAGCTTGACCTTTGATAACTTCTTTCGACCGCAAAAGGTTCGAAAACAAAAAAATAAGTACCCAATTATTTTGAATGTTACGGCTGATATTCTCTGAGTGACCACACATGTGTAGGTGCAGACGTAAAAACAAACGCATCACGCTCGCCCATCTACTTTCATGTTAGTTCTAAAAAGTTTATTGCATTAGCAATAAGGTTTAAAATGCATTACGCAAAATTCTCATTACAAAAAAAAAACAGTTAGCCTCCTAGATTGAAATCCGTCAAAGATAGTTCATTTGACTAACAAACATAGACTTTATTGCTGTCGTGACAAAGTAAAAAAACATTTGTGAGAATTTTTGTTTTACAACTTATTATGTTTGCGATCTTTCTTAATACGTGATGGGTGTCCACAACCCAATATTTGATGGTTTGACGAAGATGTTACACAAAAATGGCGGTGTACAGTTGTAATTCTTATGACATATTTGACGAAAGGTCATCGGGAAAATTATCACATAAAACTTAGCTGAAATTTTAATATAATAACGTTATCTTGTATTGCCAGTTTGTCACTGTTAGATAACAATTTTTTAAACTCCAAACGATAAAGGGCCTATAGTAATATATTTGTTTTTTAATATTTTTAGATTATATCGTTAGGAAGATCTTGCGGCTTTATTCTGACGTCTTTAGGATATTCCTCCTTTTCGTTTAATTCAGGTTCAACCTCCTTCATCGCTTCTATAAGGTCTGCTGTCGTCTTGTATGAAGATATCGTGTGTTTGACGAAATCTCTAGAAAAAAAAGTTTGGCTTAAATTTTTGTATAAACCTTTTGTCTTTTTTGTCATGTTGTGACAATTACATTGCCAAGTCTCCACGAATGTACATTTATATGACATTTATGTATTTCTGGAACTAATGTGGCAATCATTATTTTGCATTTCAATATATTACTAGAGGTCCCGCAGTAGTCGAAATTCGACTATAATAAATTGGAATTGTAAGTTTGTACACTATTATGATTGTATTTTATACTTCTATAATCACAAATTTCGCCAAGGCTACACTATAAAAAAATATTAATAAAGACAAACAATATTTAATTTTAATCTATTCTCAATTTGACCACAGACGTTAAGAACAAAAGTTTGACAGTAAATAGTATGCATGCGTGTTGCGTCAAATACATGGTATGTAGTGTGTGTAATGTTTTCTTTATTGATTTAATGTATCTTTTATGCATTATTTTAAAAAAACATTAGCATTGTGCACTTCTTCTCTGTATTCTCTATAAGTGTGGAAAATTTCATACTCCTCCGTCCGTGCAATTTTCGTAAAAAGGGATACAAAGTTTTTGCTTCACGTATTATTATATAGATTGACGTGATAACGTTTTTTAAATCTATGAGTAGCGCGTGAAAAAATGTCGCGTTCCGCCTAAGCGTGCAAGAGAGAGCACGGAACAAGCGATAGAGAGGTACGATCGGCCCAAGCGTTAATTTATCGAAAGAATTGTAATTTATGTGTGTAACTCCTTATTTGAATTGTATAAAATAATGATAATAATAAAATTTAATTAATAAAAGTATGCAATTTTTCATCAATGTGTCTTTATGACGTTATTAAGTAAAACTATCGTCCGTAAACCGACTTTACTGACAACCAATATATTTTTTATTGATTGTGATTCACATCGTAGTATTCAGAGTGTAACATTCATTTTGCGGTCATCGTTGACAACTCTGGACAAGTTGACGCAATATATACTGATTTTTCTAAGGCTTTTGATAAAGTTAATCACAGCATTTTACTAGAAAAACTACATCAATTTGGTATTGAAGTTCCTCTGCTTAGATGGTGTTCTTCGTATCTAAACCAAAGGCCATCACAGGTTGTTATTGACGGGCACAGTTCCAGTCCATTCATAGCTTCTTCGGGTGTACCTCAGGGTTCCATCTTGGGTCCACTATTTTTTAACATCTTTATCAACGAAATTACAAATCTTTTTAAATATTCTACCTGTTACCTATTTGCCGACGATCTTAAAATAGTGCGTGTTATAAATGATGTGAATGATGCTGAACTATTACAGAGTGATATTGATAAATTGGTTGATTGGTGCCAAATTAATAAAATGTATTTGAATATTTCGAAATGTCTACATATAAAATTTACATTAAAACGTAATATAATACCAACACAATATCATATTTCAGGGGAATGCTTGAGTGAAGTTTCTCAGACTCGTGATCTAGGGGTGGAGCTTGATACCAAGCTGAATTTCACTAAGCACATTGACAAAATTATAGATGCCGCGAAAAAATCACTGGGTTTTGTACTTAGGAATGGTAGGGAGTTTAAGAAGGTTTCCACTACGCTAATGCTTTACAACAGTTAAGTATGTTAGAAGCAAACTTGATTACTGCAGCACTGTGTGGTGTCCTACATACAAAACCCATATTAACAGGATTGAGAGAATTCAAAAAAAGTTACTTCGCCACATGTCGTACCGTTTTAGGCCGCCTAATTATGTTAAATCTTATGTTGATAGGGCTAAACATTTTAAAATGCAAACATTGAGTGATCGCCGCGATATGTTAGGCTTATGTTTTTACATCAAGTTATGAGCGGTACTGTCGACTCCCAATTCATCCTCAATAAATTCTCTTTGAAGGTGCCATCCAGGTTACCTCGTCGCCCCGTTGCTCTTTTCAGCACCCGCTTTAGCAGAACCAATCTAGGCAAGCACTCACCTACTCCTCGTCTAACTAACCTTTATAATAATCTAGTCAGAAAAGTTGAAAACCTTGACATATTTGGTGATTCCCTTCCAATATTCAAGAACAAAATTATAAAAAGTTGTTGTTGAACCTCAGCCTCAGCCTTGGTCTGAGTACTCGGGTATTACTGTCCTTGTTGTCTTTCTTTTGTTTTTAATTTNTCAAGAACAAAATTATAAAAAGTTGTTGTTGAACCTCAGCCTCAGCCTTGGTCTGAGTACTCGGGTATTACTGTCCTTGTTGTCTTTCTTTTGTTTTTAATTTTTTATTATTATTAATAGTATTGTTAAATCTCTATTGATATATTAATGTAATGCATGCTGTGATTGCCTCTAATTAGAGTTGCAGTTATCAATTGCTCTTTACATAACAATGTTATTTTATGTCTTACTGTAAACCCTGTCGGTAATCCTTAAATAAATAAATAAATTTAGGGGGCTTGTACCGAATGCTTAGAAGACATTCAGTTTAGTTTAATTCTTCGGTATATTGAAATGTGCCTAGATCATCGACATATTATGTACTAATCTCGATGGCCTAGATATAAATCCCGTTCTTACTCGAATAATATAAATGACTAACATTTGAAAATTAATTCGC